CCCTTATAGAAAATAAGGCCAAATTCACTTGTATAGCCAAAACTTTGACGATTGTGACAAATATAGCCAATTTTGGGGAAATACCAGAAATAGCCAGATTTTTGAAAGTTCGATGACAAATATAGCCATTTCTGTTACATAGTTTAACGGTGTCAATGACACCGTTAGTCTATTTAACGAACAGTTGATGTGGCTGCCACCTCACTTGTCTTTCCTTCCCACCTCAGCATCCATTGATAGGTGGGATGCCACGTCACATTAAAAATTTAATTTTTTAACAAATTATTTTTTTAAATTTTTTATTTCATATTCTTTCCCCTGACTTCATATTCACCAACAAAACATCTCTCCCACTCCTCTGTCTCTTTCTCCCCTCTCGTCCAACCTCTCTCTATCTATCTCACCCTTTCATTCACCCAAGCCCTCTAACCATCATCTTCAACCTCCGACCAGTAAATCCAGAAAATGATGCCTCCTCAAAATGACCCAATTCAAAACCTGGAATCCAACCCTAGGATCTCGCTAGTAGAATCGATTCCACTCTGGGTCCTCTCTCGGCTCTACCCATCTTCTTCTTCCTCTGTTGCAGCTAGCGGAGAAGAAGAACCGATTTTATGAGCGAACTTGACTCACCGTCTCTTTCCACTTGATCCGTCCACGCCTGATTCCATTCTCAACGCCCGCGGCAGCCACAAGCTTAAAGTTTCAGGTGCAACCGCCGTGCCACCGACGATGAAGAGATCTCGTCCCGGGGACGAGGTTCCTGTAGCCGAGCGGCGGGCGGGGATCTACTTGCGATTCTCCTTCGTTGGTGGTGAGGATGAGGATGTGATGTGCGGAGAGGTGACGGCGGTGGGGATTTGTGGAAGTTTGGTGGCGGCGGGGATTGGGGATTAGGGATTTGATACGAGTGGCTGCCAGAGCTCACATGCAGTGGAAAGCCTCGGTGATTCCGCCGGGGCCGTGCTCCATGTCGACGAGCACGAAATCGTCAACCGCGAGGCCGGCGATTTTAGCGAGGGTAGGGGAGAAGCTGAGCAAGAAGAGTCCGTAGAGAGTCTCCCCATCTCAGAGGCGATTCTTCTAAGACTTCCCCAAACTGGAGAGGACAGATGCAGCGGAGGAATCGTGGACTGGAGAGGAGAGATCCTCCGAGGAGCAGGCAGGAACAGAGTATCTAAGAGGAGCTAGGGATTTGAATGGGGCGGCGGAGGAACTGGCGAGGAAATCGAAGTGGACGGTGGATATGGATTTGGAGAGGCAGAGCAGGGATTGGGTCTTGGAACCTCTGCTAAGGGTTGACGAGAGGAAGGTGGTGAATGGGGCAGATGGATTGAGAGCTCGCATGGTGGAGATTGGAGAAGAGGAAGCTTCTGGTAGGAAGTATTGATAAGGTGAAGAGGAGGTGGTGTTGGGGAGAAAGAGATTTATTTATTTTTATTTAATTTGATTAAAAATATAAGTATAAAATTTTAATTATTTTCCATCTAACACTATTTTTTAATAAAATATGCCACGTCAACCACTGCTGTTAGTCCAGTCAGCACGTTAATTAACACTGTCAAACAATTGGATGGAATTGGTTATTTTTGGTATTTCGCCAAAAGTGGCTATATTTGGCAAAACCGTCAAAGTTTTGGCTATGCAAGTGTATTTGGACTAAAAAAAAGTAGATGATGGAAAAGTTTTGACCAATTCTTCACCGTAGCAATTTATTGACACTTGCTTATGTAGATGTCGCATATTTTGTTACTTGTAGTTAGTGGAAGTTTGTTTAGTACCCCGTAATGTACTAAATGAGTTTATAAAATCGCTCTTGTAATATTTTAGAGTCGTCTCTCTTTTATTATTTATTTAATATTTCACGTAATGAGCACATATAAAATGGTCGAATCCTCTCCTACACTTGAGTAATATAACATCTTGTATGGTACAAACTAAATTTATACTTTTATGTTATGGTGGATTAGATTCATGGATTGGTTCAAAAGGATTAGTGAATTGGATTCAAGTGAAATCTAAACATTGGACCAATATGTAAATTTTAAATAATTGTAGGTAAGAAAATCTCATAAAATTTAGATACCAAAACATAATTGTTCAATGATTTTACATTAAAATTAAATTCGGGGTATCAAAATATAAAATGTACATTATAATGACTAAGTTGTAATTTAATTAAATTTGGGGTATCAAAATGTTAAATGTATAGATGCTTAATCAGCTAGTGAGTTTAGGCAACAATAACTTCTGGTGGATTAGATTAATGGATTGGTTCAAAAGGATTAGTGAATTGGATTCATGGATTCAAGTGAAATCTAAACATTGGACCAATATGTAAATTTAAAAAATTGTAGGTATGAATATCTCATAAAATTTAGATACAAAAACATAATTGTTCAATAATTTTACATTAAAATTAAATTCTGAGTATCAAAATATAAAATACATTATAATTACTAAGTTATAATTTAATTAAATTTGGGGTATCAAAATATTATATGTATAGCCGCCCAATCAGCTAGTGAATTTAGGCAACAGTAACCTCACTTGTGCTTTATATATACTAGCTTATAACCCGGCCCTTTGGCCGGAATGCTCATATTTGATTATTTGTATTTTTACGTTACTTTTAAGTCTATTAACCCGTTTAATCTTATTGATAATCATTCGATCGAGATGATACATAATATATAGGTCGAACATTAGGAGAAATATCATAATCATTTAAGAATATAAAATATAAAAATGTATCATTGACCCCATTTTCATAATGTTAATTAAGTCCCTGTTAAAATGCTATTGGTTAGTTTTTTTTCACAGTCAAGAAATATAGAGTATAAAAGCTCACTGAAATTCTCACACAACCATAGATAGTTTGAAACTAAATCTTAAACCTCACAATCCTATATAAAGGGTTCAATGCTCTCCTTTTAGAAACAATATGTCACTAATCAAAAAGAAATGGAGAGTTGTTGATTCAAGTCATCTATATACTAAAAACTCAGCTAAGAGGGGACCATCACAACTTGAGAGCAAACGAAAAAATTAGGGTTACTCCAATATACGAATAGACTCGATCAAAGTAATAAGGCGCAAAATTAGACACTCCTTATCTATTAGTTCCAGTAGGTTGAATAAAGAAGCGACCTATTTCAAACAATCAATCAATAATTCATTGTTTTAAGATAGAAATAGGTTGTGACAATTGCAAAAACCATAAACCTAAAGATCCAATAGCCACAACTCTCCGTTGTACAACCAAATTTCTATCTCAAGAGGCATATATTCAACCAAAAATTCAATTTCTAATCCTCCTTCTACAACTTCAGTTATTGATGAACTCCATTCTATTCGCCATGAATTGATATCGGAGTTGAAATCTTCTACTCGCCCAGCTTAAAATCCCCAACAATAAAACCGTAGTGCCAAGAGATACGTGAAGATTGATTTTCAATGACAGTCTTGTACTGGGAAGTGAAAGGCACAAACTATTGCACGATGGATGAAATTTCGGAGGAAGTTAGAAAGAAAAGAACAAAGATAAAAAAAAACACAAAATTTAAATTTAAATTGAAAAATGCAAGGATACAACACGTAGTTACATAATTAGTTTCTTCCATGTTAGCCAATTACCCATTTACCTTTAGCAAAAATTAAGGAGAGAGCGGGAATTTAAAATTGAGAAAATTACATGAAACTCTACTATGAAAATAGAAGTATCAAGCCCGATAAAAATACATACGGTAGACTTAGTGAGCTTGCTAATTATGATGAAAAAGTCCTCTGATTCTCAGAGATTAACTTTGTCTATTTTTTGTATAAAAAAGGATGCAATAAATTTGTTTAGTGTAACTGGTTGTGATTGTTATCTTTGTTTGAAGAGACCCGGGTTCAAATCTTGATATTGCTATTTTCATATGAAATAAATAATAAATGTGTAAAGACAAAAATGACCTTCCTACTTTCACTCGGGTTCAAATCTTGATATTGCTATTTTTATATGAAATAAATAATAAATGTGTAAAGACAAAAATGACTTTCCTACTTTCACTCTCGTTGCAGGAAATTTGAAATGGAGAAAAGTACACAAAACTCTACCATATATTAATGTAGGATTAATAAATGGGGTATGGGAAGTAAGTTGACGCTGTCTATACTCAATCACCTAGTTTGTTTTTTCAAAAAGAAGGTTTTGGTTTGAATTTTTAGGGTAGTACTTTAAAAAAAATTCAGTTTAGCATTTCGCTAAATAATTATTAGAAATATTTTTTAATATAAAAAATCATGTAAGTGACTAAAATGTATTTCTAATTATAAGAAATGAATACAAATTCTAAGAAATTTAAAGTAGTCAAAATAGATATTGTTAGATTTCTTTTATACTAAATAATATTTTTAATTTATTTTATTTTTAAAATTAATGAATGTATGTTTATGATTTTTTTAAAAAATGGTAAGGATAATCTTATATTTTCAAAACATATTTTTGCTTATGTTATAGAAACACTTAAGCTTTTTCAAAACTTTAGTATTTTCCAAAATCGAGTATTTTTAGGTGTTTGACGCAGTTTCAACTTTTAAAACGTTAAAGTACTTCTAATAGTCAAGCCAAACATAAACAATATCTTAAAACTCTGCCTTGTACCATTTTCATACCATCAGTGAAAGAAGTTTAAAGGCAGTTAAATTTATATGCTTTTCTTTCGTTGTCGAATATACCAGATGATGAGCATTAGATAAGAAGTCCTGCTTTCGGGTCACTTTATGGTCTTATATAATTTTTGAATCGAGTTGTATTATAGTTGTTCAGATGATCTCAATAAAAAAAAGGCTTCACTGAAGAAAAGCTTTCATTTTTCTTCCCATTCATATAGTTAAGTGGGTAATGATTTATACATCGGATAGTAGAGAGATTAAAGTACAAGTTACCATCCATTTTCTTAATCGTGTTAAATACCCTTATAAATGAGTTTCTACACTTTTTGCTGTTGTATTATACGAGTTTACGGGTTTAACCCTAATCATTGTTCGGTATGTCCGTCGTTGCTAATGAACTTGAGTTGATTGTGGTATCATTACACAGATTTAGCATAAGGTTTTGTGATATGAGAGACTGAGAGTGAGTTATCAGATTTAGCATAATGGACAACTGCATTCAACTGGGCAACTGACCCTCTCCGGCTTCAATGAGCCAGAGATACAACTTGTTTTAGATGGAATTTCGCGTGATCAATGTATCCTAGTTTCGAGAAAAAAGAAAATGATGTTACTCGGTTCACACCTTTTCAAACATCCATAAAGCATAAGACATCTTGACCTGTGAGCCTCTTAATAATCTGATCAATGAAGGGTAGAGGGAAGTAATCCTTTGTGGTAGGCATCGTTCAGTCGACCATAATCAATGCTCACCCTCCAACCTGTCACTTTTCTTATCGGAATTAAATCTTTTCTCATTCGACACCACAATCATGCCTCCCTTTTTTGGTAACACCTTAGTGAGACTGACCCACTCACTATCAGATAGATGATTCCTGCATATAGAAGTTTGATCACTTCTGCTTTAACCACTTCCTTCATATGAGGGTTTAACCGCCTCTAAGGCTGCACCACCAACTTAATGCCATCCTACATGAGGATCTTGTGGGAGCATAAAGATGGACTGATAACCTAGGATATCAATGATCTTCCATGCCAGTGTTCACTCATGGTTCCTCAGTAAGTCCACCAGTCTAGTCTTATGCTTGGGTGTGAGATCTAAGCCAATGATAACTAAAAGCTTATTCGCCTCCCTCGAGAAAACATAATCGAGGTAACTAGGGGTCTTAACCTCCAAGTCTGGTGGCTCCTCCAAGGAGGTGGTGATCCTAGCATATTTGGAAAATTGCTCCATAAGTGGCTCATACTCCTGTCACTTCATCCAACGTCATGAGATGCTCCACTAGTCGTGGTTCTTCAGATGTCTGATCTCCTATCAAAAGACATTACTTAAGAGAATCATCAGTACCAACACTCATGATAACGAGTGTTGTCTTAAAATTAGACAATATCCCAATAATCCAGTTATCATGCATATGAGAGTGCTTCATATTATCATGAATGGAAAAAGTTACTTGTTCATCCCCATCCCGCAGTATAAGTTTCTCATCAAGCACATCAATTAGTGCCTTGGCGGTGGCCAAAAAAGGTCTATATAATATCAAAGACACATCCACATCTTCATTTATGTCGAAAATCATGAAACCAATAGGAAAAATGAATGTGTCAACTTTAACAAGAAGATTCTCTACTATACCTCTAGGATGCACAATAGAATGATCAACCAATTGAATACTCATCCTATTACTACTGGGTAGGGGTGTACATGGGTCGGGTGGTCCGGGTTTAGGCATTTTAATCACCTGACCCATGCACTACGGTTTGGGAAATATTAAACCCAAACCCACCCAAAAAAAAATCTAAACCCTACGGTTTGTTTCTATTGGGTTGGGTCGGGTCGGCGATATTTTAAAGTAAAAACCCAACCCAATACAAAATATGTAATTATTCCACATCATAAAAATATTTTATTACAAATTAAAAATTCAAAAGAATAAACCGAGGTGAAAGGTATCAAAATTCACAAATATTGTTTGAATTATAATAAAACTTGATTTACTTCAACTTATGTCTAGTTTTTTTCACGACATATGTTGAAATAGGCTAAAAAGGTTACAAATGAACGCATCCATAATATGATATTCTTTTAAAATTGTACACAAGAAAAAAAAAACGTGAATCATAGCTATATTAAATATATGTCTAAACTTTAAGTCGAAGAATGCATTAGATTAGTGAGACTTTAAGAGAAAAACATGGCGAAATATCTTAATTTTCTCATAAGTATGACTATATACGACATAATTTTTTTTTGGATACGAACTCATACCAATAATTGGAACACGGGTTGGGTTGGGTTCTACGGGTTGTGTAATACAAAATCCAAACCCAACACAAAAGAGGCGGGTTGTACAAAAGAAAACCCTCACCCAACCCAAAACCTTCGATTTAGCGATAAATACGGTTGGGTTGGGTCGGGTTGGACGGGTGGGTCGGTTTGCGGGTGGTTTGTTCACCCCTACTACTGGGTTCACCTAGGCCTAGCTTCTCAAACAATTTATATGACATGAAATTTATGATAACGCGTAGATCTGCCAAGGACTTTCCTACATACATAGAACCAATGATACATGGGATAGTCAAACTTTCTAGGTCTTGTCACTTTTCGGGCAGCTTGTTCTGCACTATGGCAAGCACTCCACATTTAGATCAGCTTGTTCTTCAAGAACTTAGCATACATGGGAATATGTGAGATAGCCTAGGAAGTACCGCGACAACAAGACGCAATTAATATTTTGTTACTGTTCATGTATTTACTTCTGTTGAACTATATAATACATCATGTATTTGCTTCATTAATAGTTGTCAGTAGGGCTGTTAATGAACCAAGTCGCTCATGAACGGCTCGGCGTCCGATTCGAGAAAAACTCGTTCGAAACTCGATTAGTCTTAATCAAGCCGGCTCGCGAACAAGCTCGTTAACTAAATGAGCCGAACTCGAGCCGTACCATGTTCAGCTCGAAAGGTAGTGAACAAGCTCATTTAACATTTTGGCATAAGAAAGTATTAGAATTCATGGATTTTATGTATTGAAATTGAGATAAATATTATGTTTTATTTTGCTAGACTTTGCTACAGGTTTGAATGTAATTTTGTGCCCAGTTCTAGGTCAATTTTGAGTTATTATGAACATTGTATGAGCTTAACTCGATTTTGGGCTCGTTAACCTTATTTAACGAGCCGAGCTTGAACCGAGCTCGAGCTTTCATTTTCATAAACGAGCCGAGCTCGAACTTGCATATTAAATCTCGTGGCGAACACGAGCCGAGCTCGAGTTTGGAAATATATTAATGAGCCGAGCCCGAACTATGGCAAAGCTCGGCTCGGCTCGGCTCATTAACAGGCCTAAGACTTGTCAGTGCCTTAGGAGTTAGGAAGATCCATAATGCCTAACCGCAAATTAATCAAACGGAGATGATGAGAGAACGGGAAACTCCTGGCGCTCGCCCCTACCACGGCGAGCGAAACGGCCACCACCTAACCGTTAACTACTTGGCTTTACATTACAACCTGCTTCCCATGTCTCTGCAGCACTCTCTATATATTCTATCTCAATACCCTTCCATCGTCTTCTCCCTCGCTCTCTACTCATTTCACGCTCTTTCTTCCCCCTAATTCTAATCTTCTCTCGCTCTCGACAATGGCGGCTGCTTCTGCTTCATCATTCACCTCCCTCAAGTCTCGCCCAGCTCCGGTAAGCGGAGATATCCATGTCCAAATTCAGTTTGATCTCTGAAATTCGCGTTTGAGAAAGCATCACATTTGACCGGATGTGAGTTCCCCCAGGGCTTGGCGACGATTGCAGCCGTGAAATCCGGAGCTCCTCTGTCATTCAGCTTCCGCCGCCCTGTTCCGGCCGTGTCTCGCCTCCGGATCTCCTGCGCCGTGAGTCCTCTCTTTTTCTCGTTTTTCTCTCTTTGATATAAGTTCCATTAATGGGCGAAGAGTGCTGTAGATGTGTTTGTGGGAGTTATAACGTAATTGCTGATGATGGCCGACTCTGTTTTGAGCAGGCGAAGCCAGAGACGGTGGAGAAGGTTGCCAAGATCGTTAAGAAGCAGCTGGCACTGCCCACCGAGACGCCGGTGACCGGCGACTCCAAATTTGCTGCACTTGGTGCCGATTCTCTCGACACAGTAAGCATAGAATTTTCTTTTCTGGTTTCCTCTCCTGTGGTTATGTATGCTTTTTCTCCCTTATTTATTTTGCGTAATTGCGATGATCCCATTTGGTTATTGTCTTTCAATTAGGTTGAAATTGTAATGGGTCTCGAAGAGGAATTCGACATCAGCGTCGAAGAGGACAGCGCACAGTCGATAGCGACAGTTCAGGACGCGGCTGATCTCATCGAGGAACTGGTTCAGAAGAAGTGCGGTTAAAAAGCTGAAGAAAACTTCCAAGCAATGAATGATCACCCTATTTCTCTCTAGTGCAGCTTCATGCTTGTTATTATCTCTATAAATTAGAAGAAATGTGCTCTTTGAAAACAAAACCCCTCTTTAAGTGTTATACACAGTGCTCTAGTGTGCGAAACTTTCATGGAAATGCGTTTGTTTGTTTGTTAACTGTCATATCCAAAGATTTTTACAAGCTCATCCTTGCACAAAGTATCCAAAGTTGGGAGCTTTTTTTATGCACAGAAGCTAGAAAGAGCCTAATGGGGAAAGAAGCTACAATTTATATGTGAAAGCATAAACGAAATGAAATGTGCTTTCAGGTTATATGGGACATTCTGGTTCTGGATCTTCTTTCTTACCATACTTGGTTAAAACGGAAGTTAATTATGTGCAGCATGAGTGCCAGAGTTTTGACTTTGATCAGGAGCTCTTCATCACATATCCTTTACTCCCAATCAGCATCAAAGAAGCCGGCATCTTTCATCTCTGAGTAGTACACATTCTCCAGATGCAAATCTTCCTCCTGCAACAAGCCATGCAAAATATTGTACAAATACCGATTAGTAACCCGTGCAAGCTGTTTATATCTAGAAGCAGAATGGAAACAAGAGAAACGAAGGCCAGGGGAGAAACCTGGAAAAAGTCTGCCAGAAAGGTTATATATATCAGCGGGAGGTAGAAGGCATGGTAGGAGACTATGGTGGCGCTATACAGCCTGCACATGCATTATAAGAAAGAAAAAACGGGAGATCAAATGACAGTAAACAAAGTCAGTTTAGATTTTCGAACATCCATCACAAAGTAATTACCAATAACCGAAACCAGATCCACTTCCAGTAATCCCACAGGCGAAGAGTGCAAGAGCGTTCAAGCCAAACATGATCACGATGTACTTGTAGAATGCAGGTCTTGCTGTAAGATAGGCATTTTCGGTTGTAAGTTCATGATAATAAACAACGATCAACATTCACGCTTCCAATCTGCTTATCCATGATGCATAACACAACTTACCAGGCAACCTTTCCCTCCACTTGGAATGATACATGAAAAGGATGAAGCCATAAACTGCAGTAAGAACTAACCGATGGACAACCCACAGGCCCCACTTCATACGATTAGAGTCCTCGCCAATGTCGATAAACAAGGGAATCCCAAACCCAAACAAGTATAGTGCCTGAAAGAAACAATCTTCTTGTTGATGAGCAGGGTAAAAAGGAGTTTGAATCTCGATTGAACCAAAACAAAATACCTACCTTGAGAAGTATGTCTAGCCCAACTACAATTGCCGAGACAGCGAAGGTCTTTGTCATTGCGTCTAGCCCACTCACGTAATTGCCTTCGAGTAAAAAGGCGAGCAAGCTAACTTCCAAAAACAGCATTCCAGATGTTGTGAACAGAGATAGCACATTCCATGTTTGTTCCTTTCCAGGAGTGCATTCCATTGCCTGTGTCAGCGAGAGAGAAAAAACTGAGCAAGAAAAAGTTCCAAAGTTGAGTCCTGCTTCTAGATAAGGATGGTAACTTTCACAGCCTCTCTCAAACCACCTACGTTTTTACTTCCTTTAACTACGTTATCCAAGAGGGGACACTATCGCTCTGTTCATTTCTTAATACACGATCTTTTTCATGAAGTTTATCATTCGCTTATAAAATGTAAGCTAACCAGCCAGAGTAATTCACCGTCATCAAGGAAAGCACAGAGACATAATCTTCAGTAACCATAAGATTGACGTGAACAGAGAGATGAGACAATGGATCGTAAGCCCATCGCATGCATTCCTTGCACAAAAGAAGGCCACCAACGTGGCTGGACAGAAAAGACTCCAAGCCCAAGGATTGCCATAGCTTTTCCAGTAGGTTATTAGGATGGAATTGCATTGTTTGTTTAGATAAGCTATAATAATTAGAAAGCAAGATAAGATCACCTTAAGTGATTCGTCTGCCAAATCGGTTAGGAAGGAAGGATTGCATCAAACGATCTTTTCAGTAATTACTAAGAGATACGGGAAACCAATTGTTGTTATCCCGATCTTAGGATTTAGGGTTTTCCCTCTATATAAGAGGTTCTAATAATAAGAAAGGTAGAGACTTAAATTGAGAAAAGAAAGGAACTGAGTTCTTGGCTTGTTCGAGCCTAACATGAACACCTATCGTCACAGAGACATAATGTTCGCTTATAAACTGTGGCAGAGAACAAAGAACAATAAGCTCATTCTAAGTTCAGCAGCTATCATTTTTCCCATTTCGTCGACAGTTTGAGATCCAGCTACACCATATTATCACCTAAAACCACTGTACTCAAAGTAAGCTCAAACCTGCAATCTACAAGCTTCCTAATCCTAGCGAACCAACCCACAGAAGGAAAGTTTCGAACTTTATTAGACAATGGACGCAGACAAACCTGTAAGAGGGACCAACAGAGGTTGAGCAAGCTGACGAGCCAGAGACTGCCGTAGTAAGCAACCATTATATGCGATCTCCCATTCAAGAGCTTGGCGAAGCTCTTCCTGGCCTGGAATGCGAGGTAGAGCACGAAACCGAGGGAAGCTAGAATCAGAGTGACGTTGTGCAATAATCCGTGGCACTCGAACAGCCAATTGAACAATCCTGGTGAGCCGTTCTTGAAGGCCCCGCCATGGGTGAGAGTTGAATTAGGGTTTTGGGGAAGAACCGAGATTGATAATTGAGAACCAGCGACAGGAACTTCCTCCCCGAGATAGCGCATCTTTTTACACGGCTGGCCGGGAAAGAAACCCTATGAATTGATTTTGGTAGCTGGGAAGGTTGTGATGGGAATGATTTGGATTCTGATTGACCGCGCAAGGAAGCAGGAAGAACACGACGAGCTTCTGGTTGGAAGTTGTCCCGACGAGGACGAAGAAGAAGAAAATAATAATGTAACTAATGGGAAAATAAAAAGAACAAACAGATGGCCGATACTAAGACAGAAGATCAACAGATGGGGTCCGGTCCGAAAATAATACTCATTAGCGAATGATCTAATTTAATAAACGGGTAAATTAATCCACGTTCGGTCACTAAAAAAATGTTATTTTATTTTATTTATGGTCACTAAAAGTAACTATTCTGTTTAAGTTTGGTCACTCTCTGTTAGTCTCTGTTAAGTTTCGTTGATGTGGCAGTCAATTCTGATAGTTGACCGTTAAATTAGTGACATGACAATTACAAATTAAAAACTTTACAATATCCACCTCATTTTTATAATTATTAAGAAATAAATAAATAACTTAATCCACCATCTCCACCCTCTTCTTCTACCTCTTCCTCGCTACCAGAAGTAATCTCGCTTTGCACAAAGTCTCTGAAAGAGTTGGGTTTCTTTCTTGTCCTGGGGGCAGTCGGAGAGCTGCTCTGAGGACCAAATCTATAGTTCACCAGCTTTAGTTTAGATCTGCTCGGTCTCTGCTTGTTGGACTTCGCTTCCCTAGCCAGTGTTTCAATTTGATGCTCCGTCTCATCTTCTGGGTTGTTGGTTGACAAATCGAGTAGGCGGCAGAACTCGATGCTTCTTCAACCAAGCGGATGAGGTATTGTTTAGCTTGCCAAGCTCAAATGTAGTCTCTCCAAATTTGCTCGTACACGACAAAAGCATGGGGATTTTCTTCAGTTGCTGGGTTTGAATAAGGGGTTGAGTGGTTTTGGCTTAGGGAAATTGGAAGGATGGTTTGGGGCAGATCAGGGTGGGAATGGTTAGCTGGTAAAATTGAGGTAGGCAGGGAGGAAATGTGGATGAGGGCATTAGCTAAAGTGGGGGAGCTAGGGATTTGGTGTGGAGGATTGGGAGCAAGGGAGGGATGAACAATTGGATTTAGAGCAGGGGGTTGGGAAAGCTAATCGATGAGTACCTAGACCACCTCCGCCCTCTCCTTTGGCCTCACCTTCTTTTTCTCTCACGACAATAAGATCCTCGGCAGTCCCGGCAGGTACCTCGATCTGGTCAATGCCTCCCCGTCGAGTTCGACACCCAGATTTACCCCCACTTCGGTAAACTCAATCTCCACTGGTTTCTCCTGGCACGAGGGCGGCGGAAGTCAGGAAGAGGAGGCGGAGAAGAAAGGAATTTTTTTTATAGTTATACAAATGAGGTGGAAATTGTAAAGTTTTATGTATTTTATTTTTAATTGCCACATCACTCGTTTAATGGTCAACTATCAGAGTTGACTGCCACATCAGCGAAATTTAAGGGAGACTAACGGAGCTTGACCAAATTTGAACATAAGAACTACTTTTAGTGACCATGAATAGAATAAAATACTTTTAGTGACCAAACGTGAATTTTTTAGTACTTTCAGTGACCAACCTTGCAATTTATCCTTTAATAAACAGATGCCTTTGCGGAATGTTAAATTGATGGATTGTGCCGGTCTGAAAATAATACTCATTAGCAAATGATATAATTTAATAAACAGATGGCTTTGCGGAATGTTAAATTGATGGATTGTGCCGGTCTGAAAATAATACTCATTAGCAAATGATATAATTTAATAAACAGATGGCTTTGCGGAATGTTAAATTGATGGATTGTGATTTGTGAATGATGTATTATATATTGTGGTTAGATGGTTGTATTTTTTTATAGTTAGAGTATGTTTATGGTGACTTGCAAGTTATCACAATTTGAGAAAATTTGCTAATTTTTTTATAAAATGGTCGATCACTTTCAAAAAAATGGTATATCACTTTCATCAAGTGGTTCACCTCTTTAGGCAAGCAGTCTACCACTTTCGACAAACAGTTAGTTAGAAGCGGTAGATTGCTTCGGCCAAACGGTCTACCAATTTCGACAAAAAGGTCTAACGTTTCTAAAGAACCGTCTATCGCTTACGACGAACGGCCAACAAGATGACATAGTTACCTTCTACTTCCATTAGGAAAATAATGGACAATAGGAGGTCTACAATACAAAATTATTTTATAGTAATGCAACATCCTATCGCACGTGGGCATCCCAACCTCTACGCATATTATAGGCCAAGACAAAAAAAGGAATAACACCCTCTTTTAACACTTCTGGAATGAAAACTCATAAAAGCAAGATGATATAAAATTTATTGACGTTAAAGATGACACAATTGTATAACAATTATACTCTACTTTTAAATATCTTCATAATAATTATAGCAACAAAGTTATTCTGTCACAAGACATTTATATGAAAAAAACAAGCAAACTAATAATTGAAAAGAAAGATGAAAGTCTCTTTAGAGTAAGTCAAATCTAAGAAATAAATATGCACAACATTTTCGAAATCTATGAAAGAACAATCATCTGATAAACTTCTCATTTATACTCCAGCTGTTGTATTAATTTTAACTATCTTACCAACAAACATATCTATTAATCTTGCACTCCTATTTTTTTTTTTATAATGATGTCATTATCAATGGTTTATCAAGTCGGTCGGTTGATGAAAAAGGTAGACCACTTGATGGAGGAGGTAGACCGCTTGGTGGAAGTGGTAGAGTGGTTCTTGGAAAGTGGGGTCGCTTAGTGGAAGAGGTAGATTGTTTTTTCCAAGTCCATTATAGCTATTGAAGTATTTAAATAAGTTATATTAGTTTAGGTAAAATATTACTTTACTCTCAAAGAATATCATTTTATTCTTTTTTTTATTTTTTGAAAATTTTTACAATGCTTTAAAAACACGAGATTTTTATTTTTTGTCTTTATGGTACAAACTGAACATGTACATTTAGCATTATGGTATTAGGTACAAGTGAACCTACAACTTTTTGTACAGGTTTTTGTATGGTACAAACTAAATTTGTATCTAGCTGTTGAGATTAATACTCTCACTTTTCATCCCATCTGCAAAAGAATTGGTCTCACTCATTTGATGTTTGCGAATGATCTATTGTTATTTTCTAATGGTTCAAATTTTGGTATTCAAAGAATCGAAGATTTAAAGTTGACAGTCTAGAACTCTGAGTTATGGTGGCAAGTTGCAGCTGCAAATATAGTTGTCGTCAACACCTCCGCATATCCCCGCCACCAAAAAGGAATGCAAAAGCCATACAAGTGTGTTCCAAGGAGAAGGAGAATGGAGAGGCAACAGAGCTGCGAGCAATCAGAGTCGAGGGGGTGGAACTTCAAAGAGAAAGGGAATTAGGGCGGTGCAACGAATGATGAGTATTCCGAGGAGACGATAGGTCGATTCATCGACGACCTCACACTCAACATTGTTGGGGAGGTTAGAGTTGAGGCTAAGAGCGAGGCAACGAAAGGGGGCAGAGGAAATAGACAAAGAGGCAGAGAAAACGTCTATGCATATGCTTCGTATAGCCTAAGAGCTTCAAATTTAGCTCACCCGTACAAAATGAACAAATATGACACTAGCAACTCTCAACAAAGTATTTGGGAGAAAGGTCCAAAGAACAGGGGAAGGAGAATGTTGAGTAGATGAAAATTAGAATTCCCAAAAGGAGACAAAGGGGAAAGAAATTAGGTTGAATTGTTTTTTTTTCTTACAGGTTGAATCGTTTCTTAGAAGAGTTGGTTTCTGTTGGAGGAGTCGAGCGCGAGATTTTCTCTCCTTTTCAGAGACGTCGACAAACCCTAATATGAATTGAGAATTTACATAACGATTTTTGTTACTTTGACCAACAAGATAGCTATTGAAACTGAAAACTTATGTTTAGAGATTGTGAACGAAAACAAAATAAGACTGAGCAAATGTTGGACTTCAAGCCCAAAGTTCGTGTATTATGTTTGATTCTATTGGGCTCAATGAAGTCCTTTCTGTTCAGCAGTCTGATTCAATTTAATCGGGCAAACTCTTCTCCCTCCTCTGCTTCAACTCCTTGTCTCGATCCAACCTGGAAAAAACAGAGACTTCAACCAGAAATAGAGACTTGCTAAAGTCTTGGTTAGAAGAACTGTAAATTAAATTTGACACAGAGAATTTTTACATGGTTTTCGATACTGATGAATCATTATCGACTAGTCCACGACCAAAGGAATTCTGCTTGAACCCTTTGGCGTTTCACTATGATGATATGTATCCGATTTACACAATACAACTGATGATCTCTAGGTGACTCCCCGTCACTGATCAGAATCCCTTTCATAGTTAAACTCCCTGCAAAACTCTGACTTGATATCACAACCTCTATCTCCCAAGCTATCTCTTTGACAACTCTCGATCTACCCACAACCCCATCTTTTATAATTTGCTTCTGTCGACCGTTGCTTACTGATTAGGGAATCAATTTGTTTGCTTGATTGTCGTAATTGATCACCATTTCAGGACTTTCCTCTTTGGTTCTTCTAGGTGCCATTGCTTGTCTTCTTTCCAAAATTTCTCGGTGCCATTGATCAAGCTTCACCCAACAAACTCCCCTTAAGCTTGTCACTAGATCTTTCTGCAACCTGCACACATTTAACACGCGATTGGTGCAACCTGTTCTAATAAAGAAACCGAGAAATTAACACATTTCTTATACTTGGTGACATTAGGGAGAATCCTTTTATTCATTAATTAAACATGGTTGAAATAGAAACATCAAAGACTTAACACAAACTATATTTTTCCAATTCTTATTCAAATACTACTAAGTCTCTTGAATCTCCCCCTACGTCTACTACCTATGGCTTCTAGAAAGGATATTCTGGTGGAGACTCATACTCACAAATACCATCTTCTTCACCAGATTCTGAATCATAGCTCATTGGATCATTGACTACTCCTAATTCATACACAAACTTAGGCCACATAATATCTTTTAGCCTAAGCGTTTTCAGAGTGACAGTCTGCTTCCTTGCACAGGAAGATTCCCGCTTTATTACCATCACAGTTGCATCAACGAGTCTTCCAGAAGCTTGTGAATCAGGACTAACCATGACTCCCCCTGAGCCACTGACAAGCTTACGGGGGCCAACCTCGGCATCTAACTTGGGGAGAACATGTTGTGGATGTAGATCGTCCAAAACATTGCACATGGTGACCTTATCGCGTAGATCGATACCCAAACGATAGAGCAGTTTGTTGATCTATGGGCCAAAAGGCAGAGGTCCTCTAAAGTACTCATCCCCAAAGTGAATCATGTGGTGAAACATGAGTGATGCATAACTGATGGGTCGACCAGCCTTAGCGTTGGAAATAATCCAAAGATCGGAAGAATGTAAGAGATCGCTGCTAGAAAGGTCGCAAGGCAGATAACATCTAGTGATAAAGAAGTGGAGAAATTTCAAATCATCAGGTAAGCGCCCAACCGAGAAGGGGGGAAAGGTAGTGACGACCTATATCACATGTACATGTCGCTAGAGCAGCATCAAAGTCGAATCCCATATCAGCGAATTCACCATCAGTGCCAGCATGAAGTCCCGGGTGAGGAAGATCGAGGATATTGGCCAGATGTGTAGGATTAAATGTGATCTCATAGTTAAACACGACAGTCGTGAAAAACGAAGGATCACAGCAAGACCGCATTTGAGATTGACATAAAACATGCGCACTGCCTCAGGATAGTACTGAATCGCATGTTGTCAATCAATAAACTCCTGCCAATGCCATCAAGAAGAGTAGGAATGTTCATATCATGTTTAGTGAAACTGTAAGGTTGAATGGAAAAAGAAGGATAGATGGGATGATTCATGAACCTTCGAAGATATCAGGAATAGGAAGGTGCATTGCGAAAGCCTTGATTGTTGAAAACAACAGAGGGATGTAGTTGAGCATTGTTGAAGGCCATTTTGATATACGAGTAGAAGATGAGGGTAACTAATGAAGGTGGAAGAAGAGAGAACCCTAGGGACTCCTCGATATATAAGAAAACTTTAACCTAGAATGAATCTGAGTAGACACGATAAGGACGATTTTGATATGACTTTTGATTATTTATCACAAGCAAGAATCCTTGAGAATGGTAAGTACATATCCTCATAATCAGGACTCATAGAGATTCAATCTCATTGAGGAAGAATAAGCCAAGTTCATGGCGAATAGGTAGGAATTTTTCTGTCCCAAGGGGTTTAGTGAAGATATCAGCCCACTGCATATATGTACTAATGAACTCTAGACAGATCTTTCCTTCTTGAACCAATTCACGAATGAAGTGATATCTTACTTCAGTATGCTCGGTGCGAGAGTGTTGAATTGGGTTCTTAGTCATTATTCTCGCACTAGTGTTATCACAAAGAATAAGGTGAGAATTTATATCTAGACCATAGTCCTTAAGTTGATATTTTAACAACAGGAGCTATGTACAGCTCAGTCCTGCAGTTATGTATCCTGCCTCTACAGTAGACAAGGTTACATAACTTTATTTTTTACTAGCCCACGAGATTAAGAAAGTTCCCAAAAAATGGCAGATGTCGGATGTACTTTTTCTATCAAGAACGCAACTAGCATAATCAGAGTCACTGCAACTAATGAGTTCTAAGCTAGACGCACACGAATACTGCATTCCTAAATGAGAAGTACCAATAAGATATTGAAAAATCCTTTTGTCTATTGTTAGATGACTCATTTTAAGACAACTTTGAAATCCTGCACAAACACACTATACATTATATCAGATCGACTTGCTGTTAAATACAATAATGATCCGATCATTCCACGATACATTTTGTCATCAATCGCAATTCCAGATTCATCCTTTGTTAATATTACTGTGGAACCCATAGGGGTTAAGGCTATTTTGAGATTTTTAAGATCAAATCTTTCAAGCATGTTTAGAAGATATTTTGTTTGACTTATGAAAGTTCCTTTATTAGTTTGTTTAACTTGTAGTCCAAGAAAATAATTAAGTCCCCCATGAGACTCATTTCAAAAGCTCCTTTCATAGTTGCTTCAAACTCTTTGCATAAGCTTTGACTGGTTGATCCGAAAATAATATCATCAACATACACTTGAACCAGTAAAGTATGATTCTTTATAGTCTTAATAAACAGAGTTTTATCCACTTAGCCTTTGTGAAAATCATCTTTAATTAAAAAATTACTTAGCTTATCATACCAGGCTCTCGGAGCTTCTTTTAAATCGTACAAACCTTTATTTAGTTTATATACATGATTTGGGAATTTATGATTTTCAAAACCAAGGATTTTGGAGAGTGGTCAAACTTGGGTTTTAATTTGGGGTGGGTCAGGTTATGGGTTAATTGACCACGATGGTTAGGTTTTTATGATGTGACATGTTTTTTATGACGTGACAGAGTCAGATTTTTTTGTGTGGTTAGAATAGGTGACTAGGCGAGTTTGTTAGTCACATCAACAAATGACTGACGGTGATAACATGGACTGACGGAAGGTAACGGAGAGTGACCAAACATGACATGTTTTACTAAACTTAGAGACCACGAATGGAATTAAATACTTTTAGTGACCAAACATGAATATTTTTAGTGACCAAACATGACTACTACTATTATTAATAGTACGTTAATAGTCATAAGTATATAAAAATATTTTTTTTTAAATAAATAAATATATAAATAATAGTAAACTTAACAATTTAATTCATTTAATACAGATATTAAACGTGTTATACGATTTATATACGTGTATAGTATGAGAGCCATCAAATGAACGGGAAAAAATGAAACAGCTTGACGATCATACAGATACATAAGTTTTAATGGGATAAAATACGTACGAGTACATAGACGTGTATTAAACGGAGTATTTACTAAATATGATAGACCAACTAGGGGTGGAAATTGGGACGGGTGTGGTTACCCACCCCAAATATTGTGGGTACCCACACACACAAATTTGCAATTATGCTACCCACAATCCGCACCACAGTGGTTAGTGGGTAACCACTACCCACTGCGGGTTGGGTGTGGTTACCGCAAAAATTCATCTTTGTTAAGTATGGAGTTGAGGCCGCCACCAACGTATTTGTTGTTCGTAGCAAGACTATAGTGATATACGATTGTGTCATTCGTGGAGATATAATTTTCTATATCGATCTTACTCAGGGTGGAGATTTTTTCTTTTCGAGTTTGTTATTCAACTTTTGTGTCAGGAAATTGTGATTTCAGGTATGATCTTGTATTTTCGTTCACACAAAAGCAAAAACATATAGATAAAAGTTACTAAAGGTGCCAACTTTTCATGAGTCGATTATTTTCCACTCTCTTTCATGAGTCGATTATAAACTAAAAAATTCTCACTTAAAACTGTTTAGATGCGTATTTAATTATGTGGTTACTTTAGTTTTTTGCCTCCCACTTTTCACATACTATTATATTATAAAATATTATTAGTAAATAAATATAATTAGTTCGATTATTATGGATTTTGTGGATTAACTGTGGTAGATATTGTGAACCGCTAACCAGAAAAATTATTATTTTACTACCCACACCCAACCCACTACGTACAACATGTGGGTATGGTTAACCACAATGGGTACGGGTTGGTGCAGTTTACGGGTTATCCAAAGCCGACAACCCAAACTCCAACCCCTAGGACCAACCTTGCAATTTGCCCAAAAAAGGAAGTGCATGTAAAGGAAAAATTACTGTTATGGGCCAGTGGCCCGGCCCATTTCTTCGATCCTGGATTCGGTTTTCTCAGACGCGGGCTCGTGCCTGGACCCTGCCTGGCGCAGTCAACAGTAGGGATGGCAACAAAACCCGAACCCACGGGTACCCACCCGACCCAATCCGGTCAACACGGGTAAAATCCGTGTTGACGGGTTTTGGGCCGGGTTCGGGTTTAAACCCGCTACACTATTCACCGAGTCGGGTTGGGTTTGGGTTTAGGTAAACCCGACCCATGGGTACCCGCCCACACACATATAATTACTTTCCCGGTATATTTAATATTCTAAATAATATATTTTCCTTAAACAATTAATATTCTTTATGTTTGTGGAGACATGTATAATTTGTTTTTTCTAATTGTTTAGAATGAAGTTGGTATTATGAAGTGGAGAGTGAAGAAACTTAGTTGACGAGGAAGAAGTTTTCAATTAATCTTTTGTTTATAGATGTTTATCTTTAATTTTGAACAATTTGTATTGATTATTTGCGGTTTGCTTGTATGCTCTAGATTGGTGTTTTTTTTGTATGATTAATTTGTATGAGAAAATTGATGTTAAACTTTTATTTTGAAAGAAACTTGTTATTGTAAATTTTTTACCACAAAAACCCACGGGTACCCATGAACCCGCGGATACCCAGCGGGTTGGGTTGGGTTTGAGTTTTTCAAACCCAACGAGTTTTACCCCGGATTTTTTTGGCCGTAAACCCATGGGTTTGGATTTGGGTTTGACAAAATCCGCCCCAACCCGACCCATTGCCATCCCTAGTCAACAGTAGAGAACCGAGAACGAGAAAACCCCGAAAACCCGCCAAAGCAGCAGCTTCGTCTTTCTTCTCTTGCCACCCGCATTTCATATTTGCCTCTCTTCTCCCCAACTCGACGAAAATGGAAACCCGACCGTCGCGAACCTCTCTTCTCTTCTCTCCTCGCTTCCCTTCTCAATCGGATCCCCACAATTTCCCTTCCCTCCCGAGAATTTATCAATTCATTTCCCCCATTCCATCGCTCCCCAAAATTTCCCGAAAAACGGCAAATACGAAAAAAAGAAAAAGGAAAAACAGACAAAATGCCGATGACGGGAAGTTCGCCTGAATCCAATTCGCCCCTCCTCCTCCGCCGGCCAAGAGCTCCGAAATCGCTGTAGGAGTTTCTCTCAATTTTTTTCCCCCTATTTTACGAATCGAATCGATTTCTCCGGTTATGGACAGTCGGTACGGGAGGCAGAGGAACAGCAGCTCGGTGACGTCGCCCCTGGCGTCACCGATCCACCCGCGGCACGTGCGGACGGGATCGGCCGGGGTCAAGAAAGCCCAAACCAAGGCCGCGGCGCAGAGGCTCGCTCAGGTGATGTCGCACCAGCGGCCGGACGATGACAACGAAGAGGATGACGACGAGCCGATCTTCGCCGGCGGAGGTCTCGGCAGCATCGGACTCGCTGGAGGGAGGAAAGTCCAGCCGCGGTCTCCCATGGTAATAAAAAATGTTGCTCAAGAGTGATTACTGTAAAAAAAGTCTGATCTCTTGATTTCTAAACTCAACGCCTTCAATATGCCGAAATTGCAGACGAGGCCTGTGGTTCAGAGTCGCGTGCCGGCGAGGGCGGCTGCCGTGGCGGCGTCTGAGGAGGGCAGTGATAACGAAGATGATCACGCTCCGATTTCTGGCTCGGTATCCATTGGCCGCGCTGTTGGAAGGTCAATGCGATCGCAATCTCCAATGGTGACTGGCCATTACGGACTTAAATACGCTTTTGTGTTCGATATGCAATTGTTTAATTTTGAGCTTCAATTTTTTGGAAATAGATTAGTAGTTTCCGTTGCTCTGCATTGATTCACACAATTTGATGCCCTATTGTCCAGCAGCCCTGAAATTAAGTTTGTGCCCTCGCTATATTTGCAGCGGAAACCTGCAGCTCAGAGTCGTGTCCCGGTGAAGCCGCCCCAGCCAGTTGATGAGGACAGTGATAAGGAAGATAGTTCCGCACCCGTAATTGGTCGGGTCTCAATTGGCCATGCAGGTGCGAGATCAGTGCGACCTCAATCTCCCATGGTGATTGATCTGTTACCTATTGTGAGCTTGTAACTCTTTGTAAAATATTCACGTATGAAGCAACAGTTGATTGGTCTGATTAAGTTGTTTTTGTAAGTTCAGATGAAAGCAGCAGGTCAAATTCGTATGCCGGTGAAGACATTCCAACCACAAAGTGATAGGGATAGTGATAAGGATGATGATCAGAGCCCCGTCAGTGAGAAAATATCCATTGGTCACGGTGGTGGGAGGTCGATGCAAGCACGCCCTTCCATGGTGATTGATATTTTTGGTCATTTAAGTGCTTCTCAATTCATGTCTGGTAACTTCCTGTTGTTGTAGATGATAATATGATCTCGTTCAAGTCCAACAATTGGTTTGAACATCAGATGATGGTTCTTCTCTGCTGTGGTATCACAGTTGTTCATGTCTTGTTGCTTGCATATAAACTTCTATAAGTGACTCAGTATCTTAAGATGCTGGATCGACCATTGCTGTTGTATGTGTTCTGATATTTGCTTGGATGCAAATGCAGGGCAGGCCTGTTGCTCAAAATCGTGCACCCTTGAAGACAGCTGCACCAGTTGATGATGACAGCGATAAGGATGAGAGTTATAGTCCTATAAGCGGTAGGGTGTCAATTGGACAAGCTGGTGGAAGATCAATGCGAGGCCAATCTCCAATGGTGAGTTATCCATCTTTTATGCTAGTTATAATGATGTCGATGAAGCACAGATGAAGTGGAAGAGTATAGTTCGAGTGCATGTTGCTTAGTACCAACCTTCTTTCTTTCTGTAGCAAGCATTTTCTATATTGCTGGACGCTGGTAGAAAGTGTTCATGTGCTACTTCCCTTTGTAGTTTTCCTGTTTGATGCTCGTTATCGTTTTCAATGTGACCATCATTCTCCTCGGACTTTTCTAGGCAGTTCGTACCAGGCAAGACCAATTGAACTCTATCAAAATAGGTCGGCCTTCTGTGTCTTCCGCCTCTGGGGAACACCCATCAACATCACTTCACTCAGCTACATCTGCTCCAGCAGCTCAGATCAACAATGCCGTTGAACAACAGCCTCTATCTGCTCGTTCCCCGTTGGCCGCCCGATCATCCATAAATTCCACCGAACAACCTCCATCAGCTCGTTCTACATCTGGCCGCTCAGGTCCTCCAGGTATTCGGAAGATGCCTTCTAGTGTGCCTATCTCACTTAGGCCGGTCTCTTCTATGGTGTCACCTGATCCTACGTCAGATAATTGGAAAGAACAAAGGTATTTCTGGGAGATAAACTAAGGTCTCTCATTCTATAGCTACCCAATTGCTTTTTCCCATCAGTTTCTTAGTTATTACTGCTTCCTAGTTATGCACAAAATCTCTAACATTAACACAAGCAAGGAAATAACGCATTGATAGCCATCTTGAGATCTATGCAACTGCAAATTCTAAGCATTAAAATAAGTTTATGTTTAAGAGTACTACGGTCAGAAGTATGCTGCATGCAGTCTTTGCGTATTCCGTGGCATAAATTTTCCACATTCACTTGAGCAAGACATCGTTAATATTTGTCTTGCCTTGTAGATTGGGGATGGATGCGGGAAGTGCAAAATTGAGTGAAACAAACAGTAATCGGCCTGCATCTGCATTACAGGACGAGGTAAGGTCATTTGAATATATGGCATAACAGTCCACGGTTTGCTTCAAGAATGTCTGTTCGCCTCTGATCAAATATGTGGCTTATTGGCTATTGATCTATTGTTTTTTACAGATTGACATGCTACAGGAGGAAAATGAGAGTTTGCTTGACAAGGTGAACTGAACCGATCTTAAGGCTTGGTTTTGTTCCTTCATCTGATAGAAACTACAAATTGAGCATTTTATGTCTGGTACTATTACTTTGTTACTAACTTTTCATACTCTTCTTTTGGGTTCGCCCCATTGATGTGTGGCAATTCAGCTTCGACTTGCAGAAGAGAGGCAGGAGGAAGCAGAAGCTAGAGTTCGTCAACTTGAGCAACAGGTTCTTTTCTCTCTGTTTGATTGGTGCTCCTTAAGTTGCATTTTATACATTCCGATGGGAACATGGAACCTTACTTTTATTATCTTGTGATGAATATATTCTTCAGGTTGCTAATCTTGGAGAAGGTGTAAGCTTAGAAGCTCGCCTCATAAACAGGCTAGTTTCAGTATCCTTATGCACACCTATCATATTCCATTTATTCATTTTTGCTCATCTTTTATTTGTCTTCATCTTTCAGAAAGGAGGCAGCTCTGCAGCAAAGAGAGGTTTGTATATTGGACAATCTCTCTATCGTGATAGCTCCCGGAGTTCAGTTTTGAATAATTTTCTGTTGCTTTATTGCTTTTGGCAGGCTGCTCTGAGAATGGCAGAAGTAACAAATAAAGCCGAAGAAATTAACTCCCTTAGGATGGAAGCTGAGGTATCAGGGAAATTAATCTTGTATGTTTGTTCTTTTTTATTCTTCATCTGTTGTTTTTACTGCGTCGAGTAAAAGCTGTGGGTGTGCTCTCCTTAGTTCTCACTGGGTGACATATATCATAATTTCAGAGTGCTAAGGAGGAGGCAGCAGCCGCATTTGAGCAGCTTCAAGAAGCTGCACTCGAGACCAAGTCGCTTCGCAATATGACTCAAAGAATGGTGCTGACTCAAGAGGAGATGGTTTGCCTTTCATCCTATCATCTCTTTTGCCCCTCCCCTTCTGCTACCTGTTCATGGTCAGTCCCATTATGTCAAGATAGTAATGTGATTTGCAGTTTTTTCTTAGGAAGAGGTTGTTCTGAAGAGGTGTTGGCTTGCTCGGTATTGGAGCTTATGTGTCAACCATGGTGAAGCTTCCCAAAGTTCCTCATTACATTTTCTTTGTGAACCAAAGTTACTGAACCGAGATCACATTTTTGTCTCTGTGGTTTAATCCATGCCAGCACTTTTGCAGGCATACATGCAGAGATTGCAGGAGCAAGATATGGGTACTGGTCATCATTTGCTCCTCTGCCTGTTGAAGTGGTATTAGCTGCAGGACAGAGAGCTCAAGCGGAGGACTCATTCAGTAAGTGCTGATTTCACTATTTTGATCGCTGAGTGAGAAGCATGAACTGTTTGGCAGGCCTTAGTTTGCTTACTGACATGTAACTATTCCCAAAATGAGCAGTTGGTAACGACGCAGAAGAAAGGGTGAGAGTGCTGCAAGGCACCCGTGAACTCTCTGGTGAAGGGAACATTGAGAGCATGGTCTTAGTCGAGAGAGGTCTGCGAGAAATGGCTTCGTTAAAGGTTTACTTCTTAAAGCGTTCTAGCTGCCATACTTTTATGATATAAACAGTGAAGATTAAGTGGTTGGCTGGATTACTACTATATAAGTCACATTTCTTGAAGTACACGCCATCATTCTACAGGTTATGCTGAGACTAGCAGTTCTAACATTTTGTTCCTTTTAAAGGTGGAGGACGCTTTAGCGCTTGCCCTGGCTCAACAACGACGTCCCAGTTCACTGAAAGGTGGTAAGAAAGCATCATTTCGTTTGCAGTTGCTAGTCTTGGTAACGTGTATTCAGTGGGCGGATAAGTGACTCGGTTTGCCTTGCCTCTTTATCTGTTTCCTTTCCCTTCTTGCCATACAAATCCGGTGAAGATGAAGTGAAACTACCCAGTGAAGGACAGTACGAAGCATTTGGTATGTTCATCTCAATCAAACATTGGATTTCCTTCCCCCTTTTCCTCTACCGAATTTCACTCAAAAAATACTGAAACCTCTCTTCTGCGTTTTCAGAGTTGAGCCAAGAGGAGGCCGATGATGTGCTTTTCAAACAGGTGTGGCAAACTTCTGTTAACCTCAAACAATCAGGTTCTACTAACATGGCCTTTTCCCTTGTAAATTACGTTACCGTCTTTCGTTTTCGTGTGCAGGCTTGGCTAACATATTTCTGGAGAAGAGCCAAGGACCACGGGCTGGAGCAAGAATTAGCAGAAGAGCGTCTAGATTTCTGGACCAACCACGGTGGTCGTTCCTACTCGTCGCAGGATGCAGTCGACGGTAAACCGCCCCTCCTCTCTTCTCACTGCTATGTAGCGTTGAAGTTTGATGTGTTCGACTGTTTTTAACTCTGTCTTATATTGTGGTGCAGTGGAGCGTGGGCTTCAGGAGCTGAGGAAATTAGGCCTTGAGAATCAGCTGTGGCACGAGTCTCGCAAGGGGCTCGATTTCGGGTCCAGCACCAGGGCACATATGGAGACCGACTTCTAAGATTTGAGAATCAGCTTACAAGTATCCAGTTCAAATCTACAGTCGATCGAGAGAGAGAGAGAGCTCACACAATGTCGATATTTATATGAGCGTGCTACAAGTTTTGCAGAATTTTACGTTGTCTGTATAGATTGTGGTCTATTTCATGTATTATTCTAGTTTGTGAGTCTTGTGTTGTGTGGACTTGGGCCAAAAAAAAAAAGCCACAAATTGCCAGTTGGGGCAGTTCGTTCTCTTACTATTATTAATTTTTTTTGGGTAGAAAGTTCGTTCTCTTATTAGTGTTAGTAACGTTGCCCAGTAAACGGGGTCTGAGCAAAGAGGTCTTTGGGTTTTCATTTGTGGCTGCATAAAAGTTACTTAGGGGATGGAACACTTGGTACTTGTCAGATGATAGTAAGGTGATTGTATAATAATAAAATAGTTTTTTTTATCTGCGCTCCACCGCGCTAATAAACTAATTATTTCTTTTAATAATAAAGTTTCATTCACTTGTTTAATGATTTAGTTCAAATAAAATTATTTATAAAATTTTCAAGCATAACACTTTCATAAGTTTTATGTAGTCGCTTTCGCTTGATTGATACATAAAAAATAACAACCCTTTCAACCTTCTTACATGGTGCATTAAACTATTACAAAACAATGTTACTTAATCTTTCGTAGGGATATTAAGGCCCTGTTCACTTTCATTTTCGTTTACTGTTTCCTGTTTTCATGTCATAAATTTGGCAACCGAAACGAGAAAACCTGTTTATTTTTCATTCTGTTTTCTATTCGTTTTCAACTCTGAAAACAGAAAGTGGCAGCTTCCTGCTGTTTTCGGAAATGGCAAAATGTTGTTTTCACCTGTTTTCAACATCTGTTTTCTAAAAAAACAGGAAACATAAATGGAAGTAAATATGCCCTTTAAAGTAAGGCAATCTCAAACAATGTTTCTCTATTCAGCCGTTATGTTTTGAGATTCTTCACTAACACTACTCAACTATCCTAAAATTAAATTACTATGGAGAAAGCTTACTTGGGGATAGATTCCCCCTAGGTACTTATCAAACGATGAAGCAAGCAACCCTAGATGGAAAGGCAATTGAGACAAGCTTTAGCAAAGAACATAGAAGCGTATGATTCCTCTACTTAGCCACAACCCAAAACTCTCGATTAAAGCAGTGTGACCACTTCTAACCAAACGAGAGAATTCACTATTGTGCAACTCTAATCGCTTAATTAAAGCATTAACGACCTTTGAAACCCAATTCTATGTCACCCTAGATCACCAAGTAGAAGAACTCACGATTAATGGAATCCCTTCTACTCCCCTACACATGGAGTGTTCTAACAGGAGTCTACTAGACACTATCTCTAAAGACTAGGCACATACGATCCCTAAACATGGCCAAGATTGGCAATCCAACATTGTATAGGCAGCACAATCAACATCCTAATGCATCCTAACTCAATCCCAATCAATGCAAACCTTCACTCTAATCCTATAGTGGAGGGGAACCCATAATTGACCTTGAATCTCAATTAAATCACGCAAGGCCCTCTTAATTTAGGTATTTTGGAGAGAAGTCTCTACAACCTAAAAACCTAATCAAGGATTTAAGTTCTAGGTTCCCTATAGAAGGCTCCCACCCACTGCAAAAGACCTTATTTGACTCACTCTCATGCAATCAACAAGGTCCCTCTAATGCGTTTGTATGCTCAATTAATCTAGTTAGATTTTTCTCTCCTAGGTTAAAGCTTTCTCCTCTTTGTTGTCTTTGATCTTAAACTTTCAAGGGATTGGTTCTGTCACAATCTCCTCCAATGACTCTCAAAGACCTCCCTCCCCCTCTTTTAGTTTTGTTCAAGAAAAATCTATTTTCTCTTGCAAAAGTGGCTCCCCCACAAGAAAAATCACAAAAAGGGTTTTTACTCGAGTAGTGCAAAAGTCACTGGAGTTAACTTTCCAAAACAATTCACTTAGTTGCACAGTGTAAGAAACTCAATTCTAGGTGTCTTTGGATCGAGTTACAGATCTTGAGCACCCTTGAATACTCATAACAAGATAGGGTAAATATAAAGCATTTAGTGATTGAGAATAGAATTAGCCATTTGAGATGGAGAATTGGGCACTAGGAATTGAAGAACAAAATTGGGAAAAAACAGAAGAGAATGGTCGGCGCCTTTGGAGAGAAAGAGAGGGACGAGAATGATAGGAACTAGAGTATGGTTTGGGAGATAATTTATTCTGATTAATCTTTACTTAATACTAAATGAATGCTCAAATACATATTTATTGATAATAGAAACCCACAAATAATGGATTTCTAGAAGTCCACTCCCCATGAGACAAACTTTACTCTCAAGGTTGTAGTCAACATCCATTTTCTCGACCTTCTGCCTTCCTTGTTTCCAATCCCGCTCAAACTCAGGAATAAAATTTTCCTCGGGAACTCCCTTGCCCCCCGATGCTTCTCTAATGACGTGACACATGTCACCTTCTCCATAGCCATAGCCATACGATTCCATCACCTCCCTTTAAAAGTCCACAAGATAAGATATGAGAATTGCTCTTCATTGTGCCTGCTACTATCATCATCTTTGAAGTCTTTATTGGGATGCTCTATCGTGCGAGAAGTGAGGACGAAAAGCAAAATTTTTTTTTTTTTTTGCTTACCCTTTGTTTGACCTCAATTCCTTGGAGGAGAGAGGTGTGGCCCAAACCAATGTTAACCCCTTTGTATTCCTCTTCTTTTCGATTTTGTTTTGGCATGGTTCCCTTAGGAGCCCACTTGACAACCCAATAACTCCTCCAAGTCTACCTTTTTCAAAATACATCTCATGTTGGGTTCAATCCCTCCTTGTAGACGCAACTCAATTTCCCCAAGTTTCAACCCATAGACTATCCTTGGCTCGGCCTGCTACCTCCCAAACTTTATGCCATCTTTCCCTTGAACCTAACCGACTTTTTTCTTGTTCAGCCTGGGCCCAAGTCCTGGCTCAACCCACCTTCCTTATTAGCTTCGGCCTGTTATGCTAGTTTTTCTTCAGCCCACAACGAAGCCCTCTATCGGTCCACTTTTTTCTCAGCTGCGGCCCGAAGCCCACTTGGCCACAATAGCTCTCCTCCAGTTTCTCAGGTTGTGTGGCCCAACCGACTTGGCCCAACGGGAAGATTTACTGCAACTATTGTGTTCTATGTGTACAAGGTGACGCCTAAGGGTTTCTGGAGGGCCGCCATCCTCGCCACCCTTCTTCTTCTATTCCTTCTCCGGTGGTGAGATTTTCAGGCAACTGGGATGTCGGTTCAATCTGGCATTCCTCATCACTATCCCCAACATGACGTCAGTCGTTGCTTTGCTAGAGGGAGAGAAGTTTTTGTCACCTTTCTTATTCATCTCATCCTCAGGCGATATCTCCCGCAACTCGACCTGCTGCGACGAGCCATCTGCCAAGCGGTTAGGAGGCGATCTCACAATGGTTAATTCCACTTCCTGGTGGTATATAAGTCGGATCTAGGTGGTTGTCATCAGGGATGGCAATTTGAATCCGCCTCGCCGGGTAATACCCGACCTGACCCGCGATGGGGCGGGTATTATCCGACCCGTATTAGCGTGGGGCGAGGCATGGGTATCAACTTCTGACACATCCTGTCCCGCCCCGTCCCATTATTAGCCCGTTCTAAGTCAACTTTTTACCCCATCCATTCATATATCTCCTATTTTGGCTTTTATTCAACTAGTTAGACTTGATCTTTCAACTAAATATACTTAATTACTTATTATATTATCACTATTATTCATTCATCAAGTCTTTTCCCCTTCGTTTTATCATAAGAAGTAAAATTGTGCGGGTATTTTTCTCAAATAGCATGTAAGAGTGGGTCGACCTGACCCGCCCCGTACTAGCGTGGGGCGGGGCATGGGTATTGAGGTACCCGCCCCGTCCCGACCCATTGCCATCACTAGTTGTCATTGTGGCTGGACTGAAACTCGTGTCAATGATGGTCACTCATCTGGCGGTCACCATGGTGGTATATAAGTCGGATCTAGGGACATCCGAATCTTGATCTGATGTGCTCAGTATGGACAGTCATCCACTTCCTCTTTTACTTGGTAAAACTCAAACTCTTTGGGAGAAGTCGACCATTCTAGGAGTAATGATGGGAGAGCGATACTACTACCTTGTGTCCCCAACACGACAAGCAACACGGTTGGAGATTTGGCCTCTTTCATCTCGTTGGGGCTCTCTTCTGGAGCTCCTTTCGCGTTCAACATCGACAGATTGGTGGTGCCCTAAGCTAGCTTCTTTGATGCTGGCGGGTCGTTAACTTTCTATTAGATTATAGCAATAGCCGAATTAGCCGCATCGACAGCAGGAGCTTCTTGTCCAACCCCATGGCCGCTTGCTCCCACGCCATTTTCTCTCTTTGCATCCCGAGTCAGCGCACCCTCTATTATTCGCGTTAACATCGAGCCTTTGTTAGGCACTTCCTCCACACACGAATGTTGTTTTTCCTTCGACGACAGCATTGTAGTCACGACAACCTGTAAGTTATCATTCCTCGCCAGCTTTTCTAGCTTTAGCTCAAAAGCCTTTGCAATTTCTCTAAGAGAGAGTTTGAAGCTCGATACGTATTCAGTATTATTGCCTACAACCATGGCTCTAATATCACTGTAAGAAACCTTATTCTAGGGTGTCTTCGGATTGAGTTACAAATCTTGAGCACCTGTGATTACTCGTAACAAGATAAGGTAAATATAAAGGGTTTAGGGATGGAGAAGTTGTCATTCTTCGAGATTGTCTTTTGTTTCTTGAGTCCATTTGTCATTGTATAGATTTTAGTGCGGTTCCGCGGACTGCCAACTGGGCTACTCATAGAGTGGCACGTGAAGCCCTGTTGCTGTCTCGGTTAGAATTAGCTTCTTTTGATTTTGTAAGGTAATTTGTTAGTGGGATAGGAAGGGATTGTGGGTAGTGGTTCTTTCTAACTATTGTCTTGACATTACTCGGAAAAAAAAACTACAGTAGAACCTCTCCAAATCAATAAATAATAAATTAATAATTTATCCGATGATGCACGACTCATTTTAATACGGTCCATCAGTGCAAGTCAGCTGAAGACCGTGATTGATGATGGAGTAGGTGGCTTAGGTCTACCTCTCGCCCAATGGAAAATAATGAGGGTTTCTAAAATTAAATGAAGAAGTAGCAGACTCTTTCTCTTAAAAAAGTTATTTATTCAATTTACCAAAAAATTAAGGATGGCGGCTTGCAAAAATCAAGTGAACAGCAAGTAGATTGCTCACTTGCCTATGAAAATTACTGAGCCGAGCTAATGGAAAATGCCTAATAAAAATAAAAAAATAAAGAAACTGAAGTACCGACTTGGTCCAATGTAAAAAATGATCAAGTTAAATAAAATAATAAGATAAAATTTTTTGAGAACAAACCTATGAACACATTATTTTCAATTTTATAAATTAATAATTGTAAGATTATAAAAAATAAAATTCATAAAAAATTAACAATATAACAAAGATAATATAGAAAATATGAATCTATAGTTGTTGTGTAAATCTTTCTTTGTCTTGTTTTCTTCTTTCGAATTTTTTTGTTGCTAAGGAGTGATCTTGTAACTTGAAAATAAATTCCAAGTTAAAAGGAATGCTATAGAATCCGATCAATAAAAATAAGAGATTAGAAATAGTAGTTGTTGACTATTTAGCATTCTCCTCTCTCTTCTCTGCTTTTTCACGTTAGGTCGTTAGATTTTTTCTCCTTTTATTGAGAATTAATTTGAGCCTCCAAAATTACATTAAAATGGACGAATGGAGATGGATTTTGAAGGTATTAGTTTTGTATAATAAGTAATAACCGCTCCCATTAATAATTATTGTATTAATTATAGAGATTTTATGGTTCAAAAAGGAACGCTTAACGTTACACTTAGGGATTGTTTGCCGTAATATTCGCCGAATCCTAAAAGAGACGGGGAACGGGAGCTGGAAGCATTGTCCCCGAACTGCAAATATGGCTGCGCACTTGATAGTGCAAGCTGATACGAGGTGGAATGAGCGTATGGTTTGGTTAGAGAGAGACCTCCTGATTTATTTCTGACCAGCTCAAGCTGGATACTGTAACAGTGCTGGTTCATTAATAAAAGTCTCTCTAGGTTTGCATAAAAAAAACCTTACGCTTAGGCACACCTAGGTGCAAGGCAATGGAAAAACGCCTCGCCTATAGGTTTAGCGCCTAATTAGATGGTGGAACACTTCAATAGAGTAAGACGACATCTAAGTCTCTCCTAAACATTTATAGATGGAGCTAGGAAGTCAATATTAAAGGAGAAAACTAACATCAACTACTAAATCAATTTTCTATATCAATATTTTCAATAGCTCAACAACTTTGTGAGCTATTGATCTATAAATCTATGAATTCGTTAGCTATGTTCTTGTCATTAAGTGTTGTAAATTATTATTCCATTCATCATGTAGTGCGAATAGCTATTTTCTTCCAACGCCTAGGTACGCTCAGTCTACACCTAGACAAACTAGGCGCTAGGCAAAGGCTCAACGCCCGACTTACGCCTAACACCTTTTTGAACCTTGGGTTTTACTGTATCATGTATTCATGTTAAAACCATGTTGGTAGAAAATTTAACGGTTTAGCAACATAAATGGACTTCAATGTCGTTGGGCTCTGAAAGTGGACTGAAGATAAAGTTAGCTTACTTGTTGAAGGCCCATATCCAGCCCCAAGGGTGAGAAATTACCAACAAAGTTTACTGCGCAAAGAGGTTTAATGAAAATGGCAAAAAAAAAAAAAAAGGTTTAATGAAATCCGGATGGTCGGCAGATTGCAGGCTTTTGTTCGGTAGGTGAAGGATAATTCTAGAACTCTGTGCTCGACCGTCCGATTGGTCCACTTTTTATGGTACTATTATATTAATAATAACTAGTCAGTCAAAATAACCATAGCTCTAATCGCTTACTCACACTCACCAGTCACCACAGTCCATATTCATTTCCCCAAAACTCCCAGCTCTATTCGTCTTCTTCATCCTCATCCGTGAGAAAAAAAAAAAAAAAAGCCAGGGGGTGTTCTGAGGTAAGCACGCGTCCTTTCTTCCTTCTTTCCTTCCACCGCTTCCAGATATCCGATTCCAGTAACGCTCCTGGTTCCGCTAGTCTGGACGAATTCTCGTCTCCGATCGGAGTTTATTTGCGATCTATGTATTTGATCTTGGCTTGTCGTTTTCTCTGATTCTTCTCTCTATGAAGATCTGCGTCCCGTCGGTTGGATTTCTGTTCAATGCGTTTTCTGTGCGAATTATTCGCTCCTGACTTGCTCGAGCGTTGAATCCAGCGATTCGGAGCTCGCGCTTCCTGCTTTGTTTGGCTGTGGTTTTGCGGTTGTTCCGTGGTCGTAGATCGCGATATAGTTTACTGATTGAACACTGCGTTTGGTTCAGGACGATGCCGAGCGCGATGTTGATGTTTTAGTGACTGTAGTTTGTTCTTTCTAAGCTGTATCAGCTTAGCGGCGTCGTTCTTATGGCGCTAGATATCTTGTAGAGACTGTAGTTTGTGCTTTTAAGATTTAGCTTGTTGTTCTTGAGTTGTATTCTTGCCATGATAGGCTAGAAAGGGAGAGAGAGAGAGCCCTGAGAAATGATGAAGAGCACATGATCGATCGAATATCAGTTAAATGATTCACGGTAGTTGTTGTAATCTGCAATTGGTTGTGGGTCTTCAGATGCCTGGATTGCGTAGTTGACTTTTTTTTTTATAGATGTGCTTATAGATTCGTTGTGGTGATATTCTTTTCTAGTCTAAAATTGTTATACTGTTTTATTGCTTGTCCATTTTAGATCACATTAAAGCAAAATGGTGAAGGCAGTTGTTGTGCTGGGAAACAGTGATGGTGTTCAGGGGACTGTCTACTTCACCCAGGAAGGCGATGGTAAATAATCCCAAATGCTCTTTACTCGGTGGACATTCGAGTGTTGTGATTTGACATCTCTCTTTCGTTAATCTTTCTGGCTTGTTTGCTCTTCAGGTCCTACCACCGTGACAGGAAACATCTCTGGCCTCAAGCCAGGGCTTCATGGCTTCCACGTCCATGCCATGGGAGATACAACAAATGGCTGCATGTCGACTGGTACATAACCACCCCCTTTGTGCTTACTGTTGGGTTCTACGAAACGCTGTGTGCTCATCTTGTACCTTTGCTTGTGCAGGCCCACATTTCAATCCTCATGGCAAAGAACATGGAGCCCCTGAAGATGAACACCGCCATGCTGGTGATCTTGGAAATGTTACAGTTGGAGATGATGGTATGGCTTTGATTGATTGAACGATTCTCAAGTTCCCAATAAAGTGGTTGATGAATATTCTTTTCGCATACAAGTTTGATGGGATTTGTTACTGAATATTGTCTTCAGGTACTGCAACTTTCACTATTGTCGACAAGCATATCCCTCTTACCGGTCCACACTCCATCATTGGGAGGGCTGTTGTTGTTCATGCTGATCCTGATGACCTTGGAAAGGGTATATATCATTGCCCATTTACTTCTATATTACATCTCCCCGTTTTGCTCTTCAGATCTAGTCAGAATTTGGTTAATACGGAATGCTGGTTCAGTGTGACCTGTGCATAAACTTCTAAAGGAATTTTGGAACCTAGGACTAGTCTTGGTTTTGAGAGGCCGCACATTGCTACTTACAGCATGAATGCTATGCTTAGTCTGCTGATACAGAATTCATGGCTGATACAGCATGAATGCTATGCTTAGTCTGCTGATACAGAATTCATGGCTGCCTAGTATTCATGGCTGTTCTTATGCTTACTGCTCCATGTTTCATTTCCATATGTAAACCTAATGTGATGCATTACATGCTTTTTTGTCTGTGAAAAACGCAGGTGGACATGAACTCAGCAAGAGCACTGGCAATGCTGGTGGAAGAATTGCCTGCGGTGAGTTTAGAGTAACTCGAACGTCGAGATTGGAATGAAATCATTCATTTGTATCTACTGGATTTGAATACTGACACGAACACGACTATCTTTGACAGGCATTATCGGGCTGCAAGGTTAAGGCATTGGCATCTCTCCTGTTTCCTCGGCTGCTTGAATAAATGGGAAAAATGCTAGATGAATGTTTAACGAGTCAATGTTGAGTGAGTGATGGTTGATTTGTGAGGGATAAGGAAAAGGGAAAAAGAAAGAATGAGAGAGAACCCTCTTGAATAAAGAGAACAAGAACGCTACTTTGGTGTACCTTTTTTTTTATAGCTGGATTTGTGGTTAATCGACTTCTAGTTTGATTGGTCTATGGACAGTCTCGAATATATTCACCTCCTACACTCTGGAATGCGAGGTAGCTGCCGAATGGCAGCCAAAACTGTTATGCCTTGCTTTAGCAGTGGCGTGATACTGTTCTAGAGTTTGGGATCCACCCCACCCTAGAAAACAACGAAACAGTTGTGGGTGGGCGGCAGGTGTTAAGGTGGGTTGTTAGTGGATTGTCGGTGACCCGACGACCTAAAACTCACTTCCAACTTCCAAGAAATGAAAGCAGGAATGCGTATTTGGGTGGGTTGGGTGGTTTAATGTGCGTTGAGGGTGAGTTTGTCAGGTGATACGTTCAGTGCTTATCAGGGGAGAGTATCTTCTATTTTTCAACATTCTTTATTGCCTTTCATCTCTGATTTGTGTCACTATTCTAAACGCGTTGCTACGGATCGGGAAATTGCCGGAATCAATAAAGTAAGAATACGAAAACGAGAATTGAAAAAACACAGACACACGATTTACGTGATTTAATAACACGATGTGTGTTAGCTAGTTCACGGGCAAGAGAGAGAGCCATTTTCTTTTTCACTATATCGAGGAGATTACAGATTACAGATTAGAGAGGAGTATGAGAAGTATTTATAGTATTTCTCCATATGGGTCTAAACCTAATCCAATATGGCAAAGGAAACGGTTACAGACCAGGCCTAGAACCTGAACCTAAATAACATTGACCCCATACACTGCAGGCTAATCTAGTCGTAGCGACTGATAGTACGATTTAAGTCACATCAATATTTACAAACCCCTAATTATCTACTTCTCTTCTACTTTTTGGATGCACCGGTTGCTCTAGTCCTAGGATGAAACAATCCAATTTGGTTAAACCGGACTAAATTAACTCGATTTTTTAGTTTTGGTGTTGGGGATGATTGAAACTGGAAATTAGACTACTCCTTAAAAAAAATAGTATGGACAATCAAAAAATCTTATTAAGCTCAAGATGAGTGATAAATCAGTCTCCCTCACAAAAGTGTTACATGTACAATCAATCTCCCTCACAGAAGTGTTACATGTACATTTCCAAGTGCTTCTTACTATCAATGATTAAACTCTAACCATATAGTGACACTTCTACACTGACTTAATAAATTAGGGTAATGTCTATTTTTTTATCCAAATTTTTTTCAGATCTTTTATATTATTCAAACCTATTAAAATGTATCAAAATATTAATTAGCCAAATTTTTCGTAATGCATCAAAATATTAACCATTTTTACGTTATCGTTAATAATTTTGCAATTTGAAAACGGAATGGAATCAGAAAGCAAGACAGAATAGGCTCTTACTGCTCTAGAAATAACTTCCCTCGTCTTCCTCTTTCTCCTTGGGGTGAGTTTCGGGCTTATGTGGGCCGCCATCTTACTGCAAAACATCATTAAGTTGTTCATGGGGTCCCGTGTGCCATCATATTTTTCAAACTTCGGCATTTTTCACTTTTCTGGGATCACCACATCCGGTATTAGCCACATGGCTGCTGCGCCGGGAGTAAGAACATTTGCTGATTCCAGGGCTTTAAACCTGGCTTCAAATTCTGAGTATTTATTGGTGGCATCGTCACCATCCTGCTTTTCTTAGTTAAATTACTAAAATTTTGCAATGTTGACCATCATGTGTCTCTTCTAAGTCAGTATCATGTTGTCAAGTCAAAATTACTAACAAAATTGGGGTAAATGCCACATTTGGTCACTGAGATTATTAAATCATGTCATGTTTAGTCATTAGAAAAAATTAATATCAATTTTGATCCTTCTAATTACTGAAACATATCATATTTAGTCACTCTCCCGTTAGTTTCCGTCCAACTCCAAAGCCTTCAAAGCTTGATAAAGTACATTACAAACCCCTCAAAGTTTGATGTATTCCATTTACATTCTCGTATTCATCATTATTCATTAACATCTTCATTGGCAGCTGGATCTTCTGAAACTGGACGGGGTGATGATTTCAATCATAGCTATTTTATATTCACTCAGTGATACAGCTGAACTTAAGTCATAAGAGAATCAAAGCAGAGGTTGCTTGCTTCTTCGCGCGATAAAAATGGGAAGAAAGGAATATACCTTGTTGTGCGGGTAAAATACCTGGATATTAATTAAGTTTGAAAATTGGGGTAAACATACTATTTAAATTTGAATAGGGCGTCGGATACTACTAAACTCTATTATATGTGCATCCGGTATCACTTAAGTTTACTGCTAAGTGCATTTCTTAAAGTTGAAAGAATATTTTTGAAATATTCCGTTTTCTTAATTTCATAATTGGTCCTTCTACTTTTCTTATTGTAAAAAAATATTAAGACTTATGAAAAACATCATTTTTTATTGTTCTCTTTTGAATACTTGATACCAAACCAATTTTTGAATAAAAAATTTAGAATCAATTATCATTATAAATATTTTCAATTTCATTATGTATTCTAATAATTGAATTATTTCATGAATGTTGTAACTAAACAATGTTGTAACTTTTATAGTCGTATTTTCTTTTCTACTTTTTTTATAGAATGTAGTAGCTTTTATATTTTATTTATTATTTGGTTACTTTCCATAGCTTTTATATTGAAAGTTTTCTAATTATTATATTAGATAAAACTTGTTGAAATATGGGTTTGTGATTATGAAAACCCCTCACACCAGCAATTCTCCATTTAAATAATCATCCACAACTATTGCACGTACTGCAACTTTGAATCGACAACCCAACTTGCCCGTCCTCGTATTATTCCGCCTTGACTTAATAGGATTTGGGATATATGTTATGCTCCTGCAACCATGGTTGCAATCCATATATATCCGCGGATTCGTTTCTCCCGGATTTTGCTTGATTGTCGACACTATCAATAAAAAGCCAAGAGATTTTGCTATCTCCTATGCTGCTTCCCGAGCTTCGTCTTCAGTATCATAAACACCTGCACTTATGAATAATTGGGTGTAATAAACTTTCACCTTCGTCATCTCGAGAACCTCCCTGCAATAAATATACGAAAATTTTCAAATCAATCCACCATTAGTCAGTACAATTTTATTTATTATTATAAACTTTATTTAAATAAATACTTACCGTACTCATACCAAACTCCTTATTATATCAACGGTGTTGTCAATTGTGTAGCAAACTTCAAAAAGTTGTCTCCCTAATAAACAATAATATTAGTCAAAATTAGAGATAATTTAATCCAAAAATTAAATAAAGGGTAATGACTATTTATTAGCAAAATATTTTTTGAATTCTTTTTTATTAGCCAAACCTATTGAAATACTAAGAATTAGCCAAATGTTAACTTCCGGTTAGCAATTTTGTTAGTAATATTGACTTGGCAGAATGATATTAACTTGGAAGAGACAGATGAAGGTCAACATTCCGATTTTAGTATTTTAACTAAGAAAAGAGATGCAAAATTATTAATAATAACGTAAAAATGGCTAATATTTTGCTGCATTACGAAAGATTTGGCTATTTAATAGCATTTTAATAGGTTTGACTAATTAATAGCATTACGAAAGGTTTGTAGCACCACGACCTCGTCCTCATCTTGGACCTCACTTGCTCTTTCTACTTCAACCACAACCTCCCTTCTTTCTTCCTCAATGTGTTCCTCCCCCTTGCGAATAACCAAGATCTTCCTCCTCTTCAAAGCTCACTCCCTCTTCTTCAACCTCTTCTATCACCTTCCCAGTCATGACTTCAAAGTTGTTCTCGGGAAGGTGATCAATGCAACCTTCTTGGTCATCCTCACCACGGGAGCTCTCAGTGGTGAGTTCCTCTTGCTCAACATGGTTGTCATTGAACGCCCCTTCAACCTCCTCTTCTTCTTTCGACGGTAAGAGCCGATGGCGGGCACAAGCTCGTGCCACCTTCTCTTCAAGTATCAAACCGGGGGGAGGGAGGGGTTAGAAATCCATGTAGGAGCTCGTTCTTTCAAAGTACTCATGGGTTGCCTCTTCGACTTCCTTTCCTTCTTTAATTTGTAGGAAATGATTGTGAGCAAGTTGTGCACATGATTTCTCAACAATCCCTCCTATCTAGTCTATGTTTTGAAGGATATCCTCTAATATTCGTAGGAAGGATGAGTCGATAGGGTCGGCGATTGGAAGATCCGCATTGGAGCATCCTTTGTCAGTTCCCCGGGCAAATTGCTCCACCATGAGCTCCAATTCGCTTTTTGGCTCCGATTGTGGAGTGGCTCATGGGCTTGAATGCCCAATGAAAGCCTCCATGGCCAACTCCAACTTGGATTTCACCTCGGGTTGTGGAGGAAAATCTTCTTTGTATGGGTAAGCTTCTTGATACCCCCATTGGTATGGTTCTTCTTCTTGGAAGGGTGGTTGGTAATAGAACCCGAATCCTTGACTTACACCACTTTGATCGTCCCACGGAGCTCCAAGGTAATCACTCTTGGGTGGTGGTGGATACCCCCACACTTGGGTGAAATCATAATGATCCATGATTCGAAACCTACAAAACAAAAAGAAAAAGAAAATCAAACAAACACAAACCACCCTTCAAAGCGAAGAGTGGGTTAACAAACACAAAACAAAATACAAAACGGCTAAAATAATGACCTAAGCCTTTTTCTGATAACCTAGAATGGGTCCCCGACAATGGAGCAAAAAACTTAACTTGAATCTAATTACACATCTCAATCTATGGTCTTCAATGGGAAAATAAGTGAGTGCCCTCAAGAGCACCTGTTGCGCTTCTACGAGTTGATCGAAGGGATTAAAGTGAATGGAGTACCTCAAGATGCAATTCGACTCTGTTACTTTCCATTCACCTTGCAGGGAGTGGCCAAGTCATGGTTGGATACTCGTGCACCAGGATCGATCACCACTGGACTGATATGGCCAACAAATTTATGAACTGCTACCATCCCCCTTCGAAGACAGCAGATCTGCATAAGGAAATCACTCATTTTGCATAGGAGGAAGATGAGTTAATCAAAGATGCATGGGAGAGGCACTCAAGTGTCTTCATGAAGTGCACAAACCACGGATTAAGTGATGCCTTTAAAGTGAGCACCTTTGATAACGATGTAATTGCACATGTTTGCGCCCCTAGTTCTTATCCGTTTGAGGAGTATAGTCGTGTGTTTTGGCTTATTTTACGCCGGGTTGTGCTATTTTATCATATTTCAGGTCCCAGGCGTCAAAGGGAAGGCTAACCACGAGTTTCGGGGCATTCGGAGGTCATTTCGTCAAGCTGGGGCCAAAACACGGGCACACCTAAGGCATTACATGGCTGTGTTCCTATGGCCGTGCTTTTTATGCCGAGAGCTGAGCTGATTACACGGGCAGGGCTGTTTCAAAGCACGACCGTGTTCCACAAAAAACACGGCCGTATCCAACGCGAAGCACGGCCGTGTTTCCTCCCAATTGTTGGCCGTGTAATTAAGCCTTGGTCGAGACACGGGTGGAGTCAGGCAAAGCACGGCCGTGCCCTCGACCGTGCTTTGGCCATTGATGCTTTTATGCAGATTTTCAGCCACAACTCAAGGGGATTCGAGTTTTTGAGAGATAGAACGATTCCTAGAGAGAGAAAGTGACGAGCAAGAGTTCCCAAGTGCCCTAGATTGATCTTCAACACCATTGGAGGCCAGCTTGAGCTTGGAGAAGTGCCAATCAACGTCCAGAAGCAGGAATCCATCCTTCGCAGTATGAATTCCGTGTCTGATTCTGCTTTTTCTTTCTTCTCCATGGAGTAGTTCTCCCATTCATCCAGGTATGGAGAACCCTAGATTTGTATGTTAGGCTTTGATTGTATGAACCCAAGTACTGATTCTATGATTGATTATATTCGATTGAGGTTTTAATGATTGAATGACTTGAATCCTGATCAAATTCCTGTTGTTTCTGCTTTAACCTAGAATGAGAATATCTGCCTAGGTTAATAGAGTATCCTTGATTGAAGGTAGGGAGTTGGTGACTTTAGTCGAGGAACCAACTCGCTATTCTGTACCGGATTTACTCCGGTAGTGGAGGTTTTGTTCTTAGGGCCTCAATCTGTCTACTCCGGTGGAGGTTAGTCGCCCGCTAGAGATTCAGATTGAGAGGGTCTGAAGACCTTTAGTCGAGACTTCAGGCTGTTTAAGAACCTTCCGCAGTATAACTTTCATAGAAACTGAACTTGGTAATTACAATCCGGCTTAACTGCAGTCTAGGGGGAACCATATCCGGGTGACCTCTTTAACCTGAATACAACAGTTTACTTGCTTTGTTAGTTTGATAGTTTAGACTTGCATTCTAGTTTCATTGCTAGATAACAAGAATTCACCGAGTAGTCATCAGATCTAGGACCCGGGTTGATAATTAAACCTAAACCCGCTATACTACGCTTTAGGAAGTGGTTTCACTTGGCCAATTCCTGGAGTGACAGTAGAGTCGAGCCAAGTTTTTGGCGCCGTTGCCGGGGACGGCTAGGTTGTTGAAGAAAAGTGATTTCTGTTAATTTAGCCTTTCGTTTTGCTTTGTTTGCTTTTTCCCACTTGTGCCTTCACGGGTTTGCTTGCTTGATTGTGTGCAGGCAATGCATGACCCGTAGCCAGTCAGGAGGTTTACTGCCATTGAATCCAGAGATTGACTGCACCTGTCGCCAGCTCAGGAGAC